TGTTTAAAAATGGCGGTAGTAAAGCAGTTGAAATTTTGAAAAATTAATTTATTTTTTTAATCTGCATTAAAATAGCCAAGAAGTATGTTGAAGATTTTCCAAAAATTCAATTTCGATAGAAATGGTGTGCATTTGAAGATAAAACTATCTGGAAATTTATTATACTAATAAACAAACGCATATAATTTTTTATAATTTTCAAATATAACATTATTATAAATTTTTAATTCATATCTTTCAAAAATTACAATCCATTTTGGAAGAAGCTGTACGGTTTTTTTGTATGGGTACATACTGCAAGATTTAGATACACCTTTTTCTTAAAAAAAAAATGCGATTACCAACTGCAGCGGTTCTTCTTGTAAGTGAATCCAAGAATATCTTTTATTGTCGTGAAATTCGTGGATTTTCATACATGAAAATTCTTTTCTTGAAATTATTGTTATGAGAAAAAGTGTAAATTTGAAAAAAAAAATGATGAACATATCTCTGTTTGATCAGGAAACTTTATGTACCGCTAGCCAACTAATAGGTTTTTCAATTACTGAATTGTGTCTGAGAGAAACTCGATAATTTTCTTGTAAATATTAATTTCAATAGAACTTGTCAAATTATGCTAATTTAAATAATTTGGTGTATCATGAATGAGATTATTGCAGTTTTTACAAGAATTATTAGAAAACTATTGATATATGAATTGTTAAGTGGGGATGAATTTGTCTTACACCTTTTTCTAATAAAGTATGTTACAGAGTAATTGTCTACAGTTGTACAGAATCTCATTTCCTTAAAAGAAACCAAATATGGATGGAGCGTATAAACGTAGTAAGTTTCTGTTATGTTCAGTTTGACTTCGATGAATTATTTATCACAAAAAATTTCAATACTAGGAAATAAGAAGTCTAGAGATGTGGAAAAAGCCAAGTCAACGTTTACTGAACCAGATAAAGATAACTCTGCGGAACCAGAAAAAGATAAGATTGCTGAACCAGAAAAAGATAAGATTGCTGAACCAGAAAAAGATGAGGTTGCTGAACCAGAAGAAGATGAGGCTGCTGAACCAGAAGAAGATGAGGCTGCTGAACCAGAAAAAGAAATAACATCGCAAGCTCCTCAGAAAAATATCATGTACTATTTCAACAGGCTTAGGTACTATCATTACTGTTTAGCAGAAAAAGTGGATACTGCAATCGGAGTTATATGTATTATGATAATTAAAATATACTTCTTCTTGACTGGTTTCGATCAGCATACCTTGGAACCTGATGGGTTAACAGGTAAAATGAATGTGGACATTGATTAGCACAAAAGATGTTTGTTCGCCTGTCAATGTTTTTTAACGAATAAAATACGAAGAATGAATACTTTTCGAATTCCTCACTCTAATCCACCTAATATATTTCCAGAATGTTAAAATTTTGACATTCGATGAAGCTAAACATTTCTTCGATTTACATTTTCGTGTTAAATTATAGTTTAAATTCAACAATGTTTGTTTGATGCTCAGTTGATGTAGATTTGATACTAAGTTGAATTATATTTGAAATTCAACAACGTGTGCCTTATACTGGTTATATATTTTTAATCACTTCGTAAAAATAAAATGCAGACTTTCTTTTATTTAAGTACTTAATGTATCGGACGTAATTTTCACTGTAAGTATGGAATGTATTCGCTACAACTTCAAGTATTATTAACATTAGATTTACACAGCACAAAAAACAGCTGTTCTATATTAGTTTATAAAAGTAACAATAAGACATTTATTCTTTTTAACAAGTGTTATTTTAACATTTGCCGTAAGTAACATATACATTGAATAAATAACTCATAAATGTATTTTTACGATAGGAATAAACGTATATTAAAAAATTAGTGACCCATCATTTTGACGCGTTCCGTAAATGACGGGTTCTGTAAAATTACAGATACGGGTCATTTTATGCTCAGCGGATCGCTTTCGTATTTCGATGTTCGTCTTTTGTGAGCTCCCCCCTTTCCATTTCAATTTTTTAATTCGCGAACACTCTGAAACTATGATTAAAGTACGGCGGAGAAGGTCGTTGCGCGCCCCGCTTCATTCGAATAAAGTTATAAAATAGAATCGACAGGTTTCCAAGACAGCTGAATAGAGTCATTTATATTCTTAGAAGAATTTCAGTAATCCACTCTTCGCCAATGACACTTTTTTAATAATATCACGCCATAACTCTGCAATCGTCCACAAGCTCCTTTCCCCCCACTCCTACCGCAGAGTCTCGAATACAAGGACTCCGAAGTGGCAAGAATTCATCGCACAGTGGTCGGTTTCCATACGAAAAGGAGACAAAAGTTAGTTTTAAAAAATATCCTCATAATGCATAATTTATTCACTACTAGTCAATTAAACATGTAGCTTATTATTTACTATGATCTTTTTTATCATTTGTTCATTTTGGACATGGCTACGTGGCTTTAAAGTAGCCCATTTCCAAATCATCCTAAATTTATATGATCGTTCATAATTATTTTGTTCTTTAAAAATAAATACTTTTTAAAGAATTTAATGTACTTAGTATGTACTAATGTATGTACCACATACTCGCATAACCACATACTCATTAAGTGATACTTCTAGATTGCAATGATTACCTGTACACCTATTTATTAATCCTGTAACATTTCGATATAAAAATTGAAAAATTCATTTAATTTTGAATAAAATGCCGACAATGCCTTCCATATTTGTACACCTCTAACATTATATTTCCGTGTGAACAAAATCCCAGACATCCTACACGAAAGTGTTCGATTTTTGCTCGGATTGAACCGTAATAGAGTGGAGCTCGTGTAATACTGGCGCGCTTCATTTGTATGTAATTTAAAGTACGGCTTCATGTACTGTGCCGTATCTCGAGGACTTAAGATATTCACGAGCCGATCGTAAAAGATGCAGTCCAATCTCCGCGAGGTGTAGTACCATGTAATGGAAACCCTTTTGAGAAACTTCCTGCTACGTTGCTACCCGGCAAAAGTCATTTTGCATGACCAGCCGTTGAGGTTGTCTCGAATGTTTACTGCGAGAATTTGCACCTATTATTCTGCCCCCACCCGCTTTTTCCCACTTTCTTCATTCCTGAAAGGAAATGAACACGAGAAAGGTTATAATCCTCCGCCCTCCCCCCACTCTCTTTCTGTAACGCCGCGAGAATATTTCGGAGTGAACTTCTTCAAGCTGGCAAGTACCATACGAGCCGTTTAAAACAAAAATGGTGTGAGTTAATTTTTTGCTAGCTTGATTTAGTGTTATTAAATCATATTTAATTTAATATTTTCAATTAAAACTTGCTTAAAGCTTAAAACTTGAAAGTGGTTAACATAAAAGAGTTGCAACTATTTTTTATGTTATTGCATTGACTTACGCAATTTCTGCTTTCAACAACTAACATCCTGTGACCAGGATTCTCGGATAAATATGTCATCGAAGGAGTGGGGATGGGTGACGCATGCGCCAGGAGTCCTGTACAGTGGCGTGGCGCGCTTCTGCCACGCATTACAAAAATATGAAATCCAAATATTCTCTTGTATAACGATATATCAAATTTCCTCAAATTATTCTATGGTTATGTTCAATGATATAAATAACAGGACCTACAAACGATTTCAGGAAGCAAAGGATAACTGACCACCTCAACCTTACAGCATTGGGCATTAAAATGCGCTCGTCAAACGAAATGCAAAAAATGTATAGCGAGTGATAGTTGGGTTAACAGGTTCAAGGCAAAATATGGTATTCGTCAGCGGAAAATAATACGGCATGTTAGCAAATGGGAAGTTGAAAATGCTGATGTCCTTTTGGATGCTGCTGAAAATTAATTCAACAAATATTTTGGATTTTCGAAATTATTATCTAAAATTTGAGATATTTAAAAATCTTTCTAAATTTCAATAAGTAAAATAAAAATATATATACATAAATGAGATGAATTTAAAAGGAATATTGCAATTTTCTGTTCAAAGTATTGTCAGATTGAATAATGTTGACTATCGATATTAGTTAATAAAATAGTTACTAGTATTTTGTTAGGATTTTATTTAAGTATGCGTGATAAATGTACAAGTGAAATACAAATGTAATACAAATGTAAACCACGAACAACGTAAACTCCGAACGACCACGTGACATACCATAAGATACAAAATCGACAACAATAAAAACGAGATTTTCATGCTCCCTCTCTATATTCATTAAGAACACATTTCGATACATCGACTCAAACATTCCTAACATATTTTAGAAACATTCATATTTGAATTATGACATTCGCTTGAAATTTGTACAGGATATACAGTTGCTGGTACAATTCGAAGGATAATGATCACGCATGGAAAAACCATAAGATGTCTACTGAAATACAGATTTAACCTTGACATGTAATTTCTGTATGTATGTAATGCACATTTTACAACAGTTTTACATTCTAATTTAAAAAGCGTAAAAAAATGTTTATCGTTGTCGGACAATATATCGGACGATAAAACGGAACTGTTTCCACGTAACCACGTTGCGAAGTCATTGTATCAACAATAGACATATGTATTTTATGTTCGGTGTTATGGCAGAGTTATTGATGTATGTATTATATCACAGATTGGAGCATTTTTCTTCTACTTCGAACGCCGGATTCTCGCGGAAGTGTCCTTGCGAATGTTCCATTTTGATTTCTCTAAACGGTTATCTGAAATTCAACTTTCGAATTTTCTTTCAAATACTCAACTATCATTAACCCTTAAATGCATGATTTTTTGTTTTGAATTTTAAAAACTCGTTTTTTATAGGAATGTAGTCATAGGTTACGTAAAAAATAAATAAAAAAATCTAGGTAATAATATTGAGTATTTATTTATTATAATATTATTATTATTGAGTATTTATTTATATATTAAAATCTGGCATATATCCAATAAAATTTTCAAATGCAACATCAAACATTCATAGCTTACTTGACAACAGATGAGAAGTAATTTTTTTTCAATTAGATAAATCACTCCTTTATAGGAAACTCGAAAAAAGAAAATATCTCTCCATGTAACCACATTCAAATGTCAAAAAACATATAACTTACTCGCCAAAAGTAATGTCGAGTCTTTTATTTCACACATGGTCTATTGTCTATTGTTATCAACGTGTGTATTCGGAAACGCACATACTCAGGTTTTTGAATAAAATTAAGTGGAACTGGAATGTAGACAATTGGCAACAATATGCATTTAAGGGTTAAATTCTCGATGCACTTTTAGTATTAAGCTACGATTGCCAATACCAAGTGACGAACTTTTGGGACATTATTTGTAACAAATTGAATGTGATGAATCAGATATAAAAAATGACATTAATCAACGTACGGCCTGTAAAGAAATTGCAAAATATAAATCAAAAATGATTGTATAATAGAAATTCATTATTTGGAAGTAAATAATACTCATTTCCATATCTTTACATGCTAGCGAATGTCATTCGTAGCGTCAGTGCTATGTAAGTTAGTGTTGAACTTGCATTTTCAACACTGAAATATACAGAGTGTCTCAAAAGTTACTCAAAATTGGGAAATGAGGTTTTCCTGAAGTCATTTAAAATAACTTTTTCCTTAGCGCAAATGCAATCTGCGGCTTTGTTTACGAGTTATTAATGAAAAATACTGATCAACCGATAACAATGTCAATCGATTTGGAAAAGTTAAAAAACGTGTATTTAAATCATTTTATTTCAATCCTACTAATTGCAATGTTTGCAAAGTATTTTTTAGACACTATTTAGTAAACTAGCCGTTTTAACATCTCAAAAAAATTCAAGTCATTTCGTTAAATTTTGAAAATGTCATCCCTTTTTAAACGTATTCAAATATATATATAATTTCGCGAATCACACTGTACGTAAACCTCATGTTCATACTTCTTGCGTTCCATTCATATCGTAGCAATCTTCCACATCCGTGCAAACTTTACACTCTGTTCTATACTTCTAGATCTTAACGTAATTGTATCTATAGTTGAAGTATATTACGAAGCATTAATTATTTTCAGCTTATACTTCCGATCTAATGCCAATTGAATCTTTTATTTATAATCATTTTCTTTATAAAGTATCGTAAGTATAGGGCGTAAACTATTTCTTGAGAACCGAAGACTCTGAAAATTATGTACTTACGAAGTACCATTATCAGTCACCGTATTATTTTCTACGTGTGCGCGTACCGTCAGCTGAATTCCTAGTCATTCAATCGTGGAATCGGAATTATTCAAATCAAACTAGATTTCCGTTCATTTCTGCCATTTCAAATTCAGAGTGAATAGATAAATACATGCAGATACGTCCACTATATTT